GAAACAAGGTGTTGCAGAGATAATAACAAATTCAAAAAATTTTCCAGAGAAGTCTATTTGACCAGGTAATCCAAAACATTGCTAGATGACTTCCTATTGTTTGGCAATAAGCTATTGTTACCAATCAATCTAAAGAAAAACTTTCAAATTCTTATTTTTAATCAATATATATGAAATGTTCCTTCACTGGTTGGTTTACCCTACCTTGTTTTCAATATTTCAAAATTTTTGGCCCTTTAAATCTTTTTCTATTCTGTTTTGATGAAAAGTTAAAGCAATTTCAGCTGATCACAACCCTATTTATAGGATATTTAGGAATAAAGCTGTGACATTGTGTCACTTAATCACAATTTTCTAATAAAATTGTGACCTAAAAATTAGGCCGACCCCTGACCCCTCTTCTTTGAAGCCTTACTGTCTGTCGACCTTCATGGTGTTGACCTTCGGCAGCCTTTGATGTGAGCACATGGGAGATGGTCCGTTATGGTCACAGTTAGTGCATAATTGTGATTATACTTAAGCGGTTCATCAATTCACTTCGGTTCCTCTTTTAGCCACGATTCTGCTGCGTTTTAGGTAGTTTAACTTCGATCTTCAAGTGGTTGATATAAATACCGCCCATTTTTGGGAGCATGGGTGCATTCGAGCACGTGATGACTCAATACACTACGATCCCTTAACAGGGATTTTTCATTTTTCTTTCTGCCACCCCCTCGTGGGTACTTTCGCTGTCCGGATGTGATAGCATTTTCCTACGCCATGATTTTCTTAAAGTATAAATCTGCCGAGGGTAGATTTTGAGAAGTATGACTCCAGCGGCATCCAACTCCTGTGTTAAAATTATTTTTACATTCTCTCCCCGTTCCTTGTTTTCTCGAGAGATTTTTGATACTCCGAATGTGCTTTTAAGAAGCTGTCCATTTTAAGATGTCCACCATTAATGCCTATTCCTTTTCCAAATCATGTACCAGCTGGGCGAGGATGAAAGCCTGACAGTTCATCGATGTTTTTTTTAAAGTAAATAAAACAAGGTATATTGTGCTTCCTAGATTTTGTGTCTTCATTTTCGAAACAATTGACTCAAGCTCCTGCTCTAGGTACCTGTTCTGAAGAGAGGTATGTAAAGAACAATCTAAGTCTATTGTTATTGGGTTTGTGAAATGTAATACTTCACCAGTTGCCTTGGATGGGTTATAGCGGCACATGTACTTTGTTGTTGGCACGAACTTTTTTTTTAATGTTTACTTTTCTGTTAATTCCTTTTTTTTACACGACCCCAACCTAACAAAAGCCTATGTATTGCTAATCTTTTGTATATAGACTGAGTTATCATTCTCCCTATATGATGATAGGAATTCTCCTACCAGTACAGATTCCATGCATCTCATCCATTCTTTTACATTAGAAGTCCTTACAATTTCTGTGACTAGAAGCCAGGAAATTTTCCCAATTATTAAATTGTTGACCTTTAAGTAATTCAAAGATAAGCACATGAAGTTATAACTGACTTGATAAGTATGCTGTGATATTTTTAAGGTCTGATTTAGTTTTAAAATTATATTTCAAGGTATTTGTTACTTAATTATCACTGTAAATATTGCAGAAATTTAAAACTTTCAAGTTGAAAATCTTCATGGAAAGTTTCCTCTTCAATTTGTCTTCATAAATACATAGAATTTATCTATTCTTCTCTTTTAAATAGTGAAGAGAAGGAGCTAGAGACTCAAAATGAACAAATAATGGAGCAGCGATTGGTTTCATATCACAGAATAATGGCCCGAATTCAGCTTGCTTCTGGATGCAAGGATGTCAATCGCATATGCAAGACATATCTTCAAGAGGAGGAAAGTAACCTGGCTTTATTTGAGAAAGTTAATAATATGAGTATAGAAATTGAGACTTTACATGAAGAGGTCAGAGCTCAAAGAGAAGAGTTAGATATTCTGAGCCGCCAGTATAAAGAGCAAAATCGAAAAGATTTGGCTGTAAGAAATGATATTGAGGTAAGAAAAAAACTTCAGATTTTGTAATTCAGTTTTTGTAATTTATGATGTTTCATTACATTCAAATTTAATTAACCAAATCATTGCCATTCAAGATAATTGGTATTCTGAGCATTTCAAAATAGTATTTTTGTTTGTTTTTTATGATGTTAAAAAAAGATAATACTGTGTCTGCTAATTAACATGATTGCATCAGTACCTGAAGGTACTAATTATAATAAATGGCTCAATAGCCCTCTCAGAAGTGTGATAGTATTTTTTCTCTGTTTTTCAAGGTATTACAAGTTTAAACATGCAAAAAAATTATTTAAATAAATTAACATGAATTTAGTTATTTGTTAGAAATCTTTATTGGGTAAGTGAAACTATTTTAATTTCATTTTTATAGTAGTATGCTTAAAGCTGAATACATTCCTTAATGAAAGAAGACCTCTGCTGTTTAACAGTTTAAGCAGATAATTAAATAAAGTAAACAATTCTAATTTTTGTTTGAAAAAATATCTCTTTTCCCCCCACTAATTCCATCCCTATTTGTGTGATGAAAAATTATTACTCATCTAAATTAAAGCTAAATAAAATAAAGGCAATAAATTAAAAGGAAAAAAGTTATTTTCAAATGACAGCTAAATAATTTTTTTTATAAGATAAAAATAAAACATTACAACTGAGCATTTCTAATCCAATGATTATATTTCCCTTTTAGTAAATATTGATTAGTGATAAATTTATTTTGATTGAAATGCTGATTGTCCTGATGTCAAATGGTGATTATGATTCTGATGGCCGAAAGAATATAAATGTTATTCTGTATGGATGATTTAATTCTTGAAAGTTTTTATTAATAAGTAGCTAATTTCTTTATTGAGTTTTTTAAATGAATAAGTAAATGCGAACAATACTAATAAATCTTAATCTTTAATAAGTTAATTCCATTTGATAATTTGTCTTTTTTACATAAATTGACTGCTTATTTTAAAAAGATTAGAACTAATTATATTAATATCTTTCTTATGATGTTAGTGTTCTGTCGCACAAATGAAAACACAACAGAAGTGTTTCACGTTTGATTTCGAGAAAATTGGTTAGACAAAAATAAAACAATTTATATTACTAATGCTATGAAAACTAAAATAGAATTTGAAAAAAAAACTGATAAAACAAAATGTATTTTTGAAAAAATGATTTTTTCAATACGTAGATTCTCATACAAAAATGCCAAATTTATTAGGAAAAAAGTATGTTCATTCAGAATAAGTAGCTTATCGTGCAAATAATTTTTTTGTCCTTTACGTTGATTTTTCTGTTGCACAGCAGTATTGGTGTTATCTAGTTTATTTGATTTAAAAACATATATTACTAAATAAGATAAAAGCATGAAAAAAATATGATTTCATTCTATTGAGTACAACAAATTATTAGATTTTTTTTTTTTTTTTTTTTATCTANTTTTTTTTTTTTTTTTGTTTAGAACCTTCAATTTTTTAAATTTGAGGCTTAGAGAGTTATTAATTTTATAAATTAAAATAATGCTACTTGTGTGTTGATCCACATTAACCGAATTTATTTTAAAATTATAATCTTACCTATGTTTCAGTTATTAATTAAAACTAATAAAATAGCCTGATTAGAATGTTTATAAATTCTTTATTTTGCTACCAAAACTAAGCTCTTAGAATACATGTCTCTACTGCATTGTTGACTTGGAACCCTAAGATATTATAAATTTTGATATAGCTGAATAGGTTTTTTCTTTGTCATTATTATCAACTCATTTTAGTTTTATAATTTATATGCCAATAAAATTTAACAATTTGTTTTATCTTATTTTTCTCTTTAGAGAGTTACAATTTATTGTATCTTCCTCTTTTTAAAACTCATCAAAATTTTATTATTTATTTTCTTTTGTATATATTTTATGCAATACTTTCATATTTTAAAATTTATTTTTTTATTTTTCTATTTTGGAATTATTTAGGTTTGCAATGCATCTTAATCATCATTATTTCTAAATGATGCATTGCAATAAAGGATTTCCTGGGTCTTCCACCTTCAATGCTAATAATTTTTTGGAAGAAAAATTATTATTTTTTTGTTTATTTTTGTAAGTATAAATGTATGAACACATTTTATTCCGTTTGTTTTTGCATGGTTGTCATCATATTTATCTTGTTATTATTACAAGAATCTTTGTTAATTTTATTTTGTTTTATTTTTTGCATTTTTAATATCAGTTTGCATTGTTATATCAGTGTAATATTTCAATATTAAATTTTTTCATATTTTTAAACAATTTAAGAGCTTAGTCCAATTTTATTCATGCTTCCATTTTTATGTATGATTTCTCTGCTCCTTTCTTTGTATATTTGAAGGGTTACCAACTTTCTATGCTTTTCAGGAAATTTTCTTTGAGTGGTAACTAAGTTTCTGCTTTAATGTATGATTCTTTGTTTTATAATTTTTTTCAAATTTATTTTCCACACCAGTACATATAAGTGATTCAAAAGTTTATATGAAATCCCACTGGTGGAATTACAAGAAATTCAAAAAGCTTTAGTTCTTACTTGTCTACCATGCTATAAACTTTTTTGCAAAAAACGTAGTAGTTGACAGCCTTGTATTTGACTATAGAGCCTGAGAAACAAATAGCAAAATCCAATATTTTTCTTTAAAGTTTTATTTACCTTTGTTACTTTGAATTGTATTTATTAATTTTTTCTCCTCGATAGTTTTGAATGATGTGGAAGGAAAAAAAAACCCAGCTATTTTATTGAACTTGCATTTCTATACCATTAAAAATAATTATGTGATTTAAGTTACACTAGCTTTGAGTTGTATATTAAAATACAATATTATGTCAATTTATTCTTATTTAATTAATTGGAAACAATATAAAATGGATACACATATTCTATTGAACAAACGTTTTTATATCATAACAAATATCAATTAGCGTGAAATGATGTTGAGAAATTTTGTAATATTATGCATTAAATATCTTATAAATATGCCATGAAAGCTCAGCCTCATAATAAAATCTCAACATTAAATAAAAAATAAATATCATACATCATATAACATATAAACATAAACAGTAAAAGAAATTTGACTTTATACCAGAATTATTAAAAATAAGAAACAGTGAAGAAATGCAAATGATCTTTTTTATTATGCTACTTACTTTTTTTAATCTGTCCCATTGAATTAAATATTTTTTAGAATTGTACTGATAAGTTGAGAATGGAAGCGCAAGAGTTAGAAGACGCTTCTGATTTAAAAGCTGAAGAATTGGAAACAATTAAGAGTGCTTTGAAGAGAATTTATAATTTCTTGGATAATTTTTCTACTCACCGAGTTGCATTCACTGTAGATGAAGGAATAACTGACGATAATGTGCTTCAATACTTGGAAGCCTTAGAAAGAAGAATAATTGATGTCATCCGCTGTCATAAACTTGTGACTGAACTGGTAATAATGATCTCTTTAATCGCTTAATTTTTTTAAATTGCTGTTTTAAAATAATATATTTTCAGGGCTCCCACGAGTCAGGGAGAACAGGGAAAACCTGGAATTGTTAGGGAATTTTATTTTCAACTCTAAAAACCAAGGAAAGTTTCAATTTTTTTACAAAATCCTTGAATATTCCTATCTCATACCTGGAAAATTACCAGTCTTAAAATTGTCAGTGAGTAACTGTAATCAGTTATGGAGATTCGAGTTAAATAATTCTAACATCTATTACAATTATTTGTTGTAAAAATTTCACATTCTAGTCAAACTGAAAAGTTCCCATGCTCATTTTATAATACTTTTTTAACACAGAAAATCTAATATTTCACATTACAAATAAAAGAATCAAAGTTTTCTGATGAAAATATAACCTCAGTTATCAATTTACCTGGTTTCCCTAAAAAAGTTAGAAAATTTTCTTTCTTCTGAAATTGAGTCGGAAGCCTGGTTTTTATGCGAATGAATTATGGTATTACCGTAAGAAATTTATTATATGAAATGGTAAATATGTATTGTATTTTAATAGTTTTAAAAGTATAAGGTATGAGATAAATGTTTGTTCGTTAATTGCTGACTTATCTTATTTCTAAAGAAATCTAAATATTATACATTTTGGCACACTATCCTAACAGCTACCGCATAAATGCTGCAAGGTGCACATTAAATCTGTTGTGGCTGAATTTTTTTGCGTTGATGGTGGTGGAAAAGCTGGGAGAGAGGGATTCCAGCTCAGACACTGTCCACGTTGTCTGACTCTGGTCAAAATTACATAGCAAGCCTACCATGGCTGTTAAAAGATAGAAACCTAAAAATGAGGCTAGGTTCTTGGCCTTGTTTGGATGATGTGTTATAATTTTTGGTGTGTCATCTGTTTTCTCATCATTATTAATTTAACTTAATTTTGACTATCACGACTTCTGCTGATCTTGTTATGTTGTCCGTGTCAGGAACATATAATATTGTAATACAAATTAAATCAAGAAAAAGTTTAAAAAAGAATGTAATTTAATAAAATCAACTTCGAAAAATAATCAAATCAAATTTAGAATAAGAAGATGCTTTGAACGAATGTTTTTTTTTTGTGCTTTTTCTAAAAAGATTATACTATTATCTGGTGCGTAAATATTTGAATTGATAGTTTATTTATACTTCTTTGACCAAAAAGCATTCATTTAATGGTCAGATTAAAATTAAAAACTCTAAAGCACTAAACTGATTTTTTTAGAAGAATAAATTTTGAGACTTGGAAGAAAATAGATTTTGAAACTATTACTTATATAATCCAATTGTTTTGAAGAAATAGGTCAAGCAGAATTTACTTCAGATACTCGAGATCTTATTTCAATTTTATTTTTACACTAAGCACATTTTTAAGTGTAAAAAGTTTTACTTTATCTGAAGTAAATTAATATTGTTATGAAAGTATTCTGCAGGAAAAAATATATGTATATAAACTACTTCTATTATATAACTCTAGAGATATTCATGATACGATATTGGGCCTTTAACATAAATGTTCAGTTCTAAGACTTCATAATTGCCCCCTGGATGTTTAACTATATTTAGAAACAGCTTCTGGCTGCCTCTGTATCTGCCAAATAAAATGCTATGCTTTTTTCTGGTCTAAGTTTTTTACAGTAAATAATTTTTAAAGTTAAGAAGAAAACACTTATGATATTAACAATTAGAAAACCCAAATCCAGTTCCAACAATGATATGGTAACATGTAGGGCCCGGTAAATTCTGTATTAAAATTTTTAAAATTATGCAGCAATTTTTAAAATTATGCATGCAAATTGAAGCTGACCTAGAAAACAACTTAAACAGAAAAAGAAAACTCTATTAAAAAATACACCTTTTATTATTTCCCTGTTTTCTTAAAAATAGAATGCTTAAAATCAAATTCTCACTGTCATCAAAACTCTAATACGGTGCTGCATTCTTTTTTAATAGGGTGCTGCATTTTGCATTTTTGTTTGATTTATGCATTCATTTTGTTTAGTACAGTTTTAACTCAAACTTAAGATGTCTTAAAAATGGCACTATGAACTTTTTTTTAAAATTCGATATCATAGTTTTTGTTTCTAAAAATTTCTTTAATTTATTAATATTTATGTCTAATCTCTTTAATATATTTAATTATATTCTGATATAATTATTACTAAATATGAGTGCATGAAAAAATGTAATTATATAATAATGTTGTTTCTTTTTTCTTCATAGAAATGTGATGATATAAGATGTTTTTCAAAAACTAACAATAAACCATTAAAATCGTTTGAAATGAAGAAATCATTGCATGACTATAAAAAGGAAAAAAGGTGGATTTTCAAAATTTTTATAATTAGGACAGTAAGCGATTGAAAGCTTAATTAATAAGTTTGAAATAGTCTTTGTTAGTTTCAACTATATCAAAATATGAAGTGCAAAAATATTTATACTTTTATAATGAACTTTACATGTCGCCTAAGAAGAATTCCTTAACTGATTTAATAAATAGAGAAATCAAAAATCATGTATAGAGCAGTTAAATACTACAATTCCATAGGAAAGTTGTGCAATGCATCAGAAATTCCATAAGAAAATTGAAACCAATAGAAAATTTTAAAGAAGAAAATAATGAAAAATATAATAATGACAACCGAAGCTGACGTCGTCAGGGGGTACCAGCTCCAAAAGTCATAAAAACACAAAACCTTTTCTATTGAGAGAGCATGACAAATGTCTAAAATTTGCTCTCTCTGTACTCCAAAGGTTTTGCAAAAGTCCAGGAAGAGAGAAAATGAATACAAAAACAAAATACAAAAGTAAATTATATAAATTATTTACAAAAGGAAAACAATGCTCAAATATTCCATAGTTAAACCAAAGCAAACTACTTTCTGAAAATTCTTAACTAAACTGAAATTCACAAAGAAACTACGCCCCGGTTTTTTTTAGAAAATAACTTCTTAAGTGGGAAAACTTTTTAAACGGGTTCTACTCTATTCCATAGTTAAACCAAAGCACACTACTTTCTGAAAATTCTTTACCAAACTGAAATTCACAAACAAACTATGCCCCCATTTTATGCACAGAAATGAGAAAAACATTATATTTTTCATTATTTTCTTCTTTAAAATTTTCTATTAACTGATTAAGTTTTGCATCCTCTTTTAGAAAATGAATTGAATGTGTGAAGGAATGTGTTCTCTTTTCCAAAAAAATATTAAACATTTATGAGCTCTGGCTATTTTCTTTTCCAGACAATGACCACACATATTCCATTCATTATGCTTTAGGTCTAATTTACAGATAGAGAAATCTCAAGCCAGGAAAACGTTACTTTAGATTATATGACTAGGCGTGCTCTATTTCTAATGCTGTATCAGATAAATATATTTCTTTATCAAAAAATAAATAAATAAATAAACATAATTACTATTGATTTAACTTTCTATGCATTTTTTTAAAACTTGTTTTGGTATTTGTTTGCAAAAAACTTTTACTAAGTGTATAATCATTATGATAGAACAAATTTGAACAATTAAACAATTATTTGAACAAATTATGATAGAACAATAAAATACTTTAGGCTTCTAAATAAAGAATTAATTGATGCGAAAGAAAATCAATAAAAGTTTTATTTCGTTATAAATCATAACATCTCAAAATTCTAACTGCACTCCTTATTATCATCTAAAGCTAAAACATTCTAGAAAAAATCAAATAAGACCTAACCACATTTTGTATGGCTTAGCAATCAGTAACAAATTTATTATTTCTCATCTCTTAATCTCTGGGAGTTTCCAAAAAGTTCATTTCCTTTTCAGAAATGAAGTCAAAATATTATAATCTCAGTACAAAAATAAAATGTTGAGATAATAAAATATTTTTTTTTTGATGCTACATGTTTCAAGACTATAGTGGGAAACAACGTAAATAATGTACAAAAATGAACATACTATAGTTTCAATGTTTTAAACAGGAACCTTCCTCAGCACCTTGAAACCAAAAACACAACCATTTTATGTATTTAGATGCTGATGAAGGTTCTTGCTTAGAGAACTGAAACTAGAGTATGTTCATTTCTGTATTTTATTTGTACTTTAATCACGTTTTTCACTTTAGTCTATGTAGTACATAGTATACTCTATTAGAGAGGAGATCGGGCTCCCTTTTGGTGGTTCAGGGCCAGAGATACATAGGATTACTTAGAGCCCCGAGTCCATCCCAGCTTGAGATATAAGTAGTATAAAGGCCAAATTATCTGGTCTCGTCACTAGGCTTTTCATCTGTAAACAAGGGAATTAGTGAATTAGAACCTTTTCTTTGTGCCAACCTGCGAAAAAAAACCAAGACAAAACCAGAAACATCTGAAATTCAAGATGACTAAAAGAAAAATTAAAAAAGACAACAATCAACACAATGACAATTAACGGTAGCTTCAGAAAGCAAAAGCACCGAACAGATGTAGCAGATCGCTGGGAATTTTTATGCCTTATTAATTTTAAACTTTTTATACTCGATGACTGAAACAAACGTTTGTTTAAAAGTAGTAAAAAAGTTTATGAAAATTTTATCTGAGCCTTGATCGATCCCGAATATTTTTGAGTGCTTAAAAGGTGCTTATTTTTTTTTGAAAAATCTGGCTATGCACCCTGTTTCTCTCACCAACGAAAATTTCTCATACGTTTAGGTTAGACAAAAATAAAATAAAATGCTTCTTTTCAGTCTACTAGAAAAACTGAAAAACACATTTTTTTTTAAAATTTTAATTTTGTTTTAGTCATTAATTTTTCAATTTTATTCTTGTATGTTTTAAATTTCTACAAATTTCTCTTTTTCTTATTGTAGCCTCTTCTCTGCCCACCCAGCGAGTCAGATGGAAGAACTAAAAGCGAATATTCCATACAATCCAGATCATTTGGAAACATTCACAAAGACTTTTCACAAAAAACTACAAACTAAATAAAAGTGTAGTTACTCATTAACATTACAAATTAAACATTTACTTTACTAAAAATTTTTATTAATTTACATTTAATCATGAATTTTTAAGGTTTTGTAATTTGATATAATAATAAACTTTAATAACTATGTTTACTTTGTAATATTATTTTTCCTGGTCAAATCTATTTTAAGATTTAATTCAAGGGGTGTTGAACTGCCACCATTGCTTCACAATCATTTTAATTTCACAATTTAAACGGATTATTAAATATCAGCCAGCTTATAAAAAAAAAGTGTGATAATTTTTATATTGATTGAATTAGTGGTACAAAATTATAAGCTTTACTTTTCATATCTTAAATTTATCAATTTAATTTTAGCCCTTGATATATCATTTCTTAATATAGAAATGATCTTTGATTGCACTGTAAACAACAACTCGCAACGGAATGTTGACAGAAATGCCATCTTCTTCAGACACGCCAAAATAATAATTAAAAAAACGGTAAATAACTAGAAACTAAATTTTGCAAATATTTGACTCTTTTTGCTTGCATTTTAAAAGATACGGCAAGGCGTAACTACTATAAAATGGTGAATTATATAAGCCTACAAATTATTTAGAAATAGTGGTGGATAAAAATCTACTAAATTGAATTTATTAAACCAAGAATCACAGTTGATAAATTACCACTTTAAAATATTTATTTACTGTCTGCAAGTTGGCATCTTTGTGTTGAAGACGTCTGAGACACGTCAATTATTGTTTTGACATACAAAACAAATGACGTCTTCGTATGTCAAGAGGTTAAAATGATTTTGACCAGCACTACCTATAAAGATATATACAGTGAAACCTCTCGGGAGTAACCACTCTCTGTTCCACAGTGAATAGGTAATGGAGGTTGGACGTTCTTAGAGGTTTAATCCCATTGACTTCCAAATTGTTATCAAAGGTACATGATTTTTCACAAAAAGATTTTAATTTTAGTCAGTATCATTTTCTTGGTGTGAAGATGCCGCTTCTGTTGGCTTCATAAAAAGACGATTCTCTTCAATACATTTGAATCCACTTATTTGTTTTGTTAATATTTTTTTTATTTTGATATTTTTTCCTGTTTCCTTATTTGACCTTTTCCGCACTTGGTGCGTAGGTTTCCTCGGTCGCTAGGAGAGGTTTTAACGGTTTCTCTTAAATGTTTTCTTCAAGACAAGTCTATGGAAAAAATTCCACGCCTCTCAAATGTAGTCGTAAATAGAAGAGGTCACTACACATAGGTGGCCGTTCCCGGAGGTTGAAAATATTTTAAAAAGCTATTATACTCCAATAAACATGTGCCTGCCTAAATTAGAGCAGATATATATTATATAAAAAGATATAAATAGAAAAAATTTAATAAAAATTGTTGTAACTTATCAGCGGTCAACAACATGTTTTTATTACTAGTGTAGGGTTCAGCCATAGGCAGCATGGCTTGCAGCTTTTAGTGTTTGCCCCGTAGCTATAACGGAACCCTATACTTGTTTTGTTCAGAGATATGTATAATTGTTGCCTGTTGATGAGTTACAACAATTTTAATCTACTTCTTTCTATATATATATACAGTGGTGGCCAAAAGTGTTGACACTTTTTGAAAGTTTCATGTTTTTCAACTTTGTGTGCTTGTAGAATATATTAATTTTTACTTAAATACAAAAGTTTATATATCAAATTGAAGGTAATTTAATGTAGAATTTAATAATGAATACAGTATTACAATATTTGTATTACAAAAAACGTTATGCAACCAATAGTAAGATCTATCTTAGATTTGCATTTTTTTTAAAGTGATACTTACGCAATCAATACTTAGTAAGATAACCCTTATTTTTTAAGACAGCTTCCCAGCTTCTTTTAATTGAGTGAACGACTGTTTGAAGTTCATCTTTCGTAATCACATGGTGCCAAGAATCAATTATAGCTTTAATAAGTTGTCTTTTACTGGATGGACGTTTTTTTCTTACAAGAATTTTCAAACGTCACCACAAATTTTCAATTGGATTGAGATCAGGACTGTTTCTTGGCCATGGTAATATATCTATACCTTTATTTTGAAACCATGCTTTGCATACTTTTGCTGTGTGGCATGGAGCTGAATCCTGCTGAAAAATAAATGGTGCGTTGTTGGGGAAGAGATCCCGGATGGAAGGTATCAATTTTGGTTTCAGGACAGTTTCGATGTATTTTTTGGCATTCAGGAGGCCATCAATCACTTGAATTCGGTCCACACAATCTGCAGACATACATGCCCAAATCATAACATTTGTTAGGTTTTTTGTAGTTGCTTCAATGCAATCACGATAAAGTGCTTCACCTACTCTACGTCTCACGTATTTTCTATCATCACAACCAAAGAGCGATATTTTACTCTCATCGCTCCAGATTACTTGCTTCCATTGGTTTTCTGACCATTTAATGTGTTCTTTTGCCCACTTAACTCGTTTTTCGCTTTGCTTTTGATTTAAATATGGTTTTTTCCTTGAAATTCTAGCTTGTAATCCAAATCCTGATAACCCTCTTCTTATTGTTCTTGAACTTATTGCAATACCCGCTGCTTTCATTTCACATCTAATGGCATCTGATGAAGTTTTTCTATCTTGAAGGCATAGCCGTTTAATTTTTCTATCGGCGGTAGCACTTGTGCATTTTTTTCGGCTTAATTTGGCTTCATTTTCCACTGATTTCGTTTATTACAAAACACGTCTTTATTCAAAACGACTTATGTTTGTTTGTTCTACTAAAATAGACATAACTTTTTCTGTCATACAAATATTTCAATTCTGTTTTTGTTACTAAATTTCACATTAAATTACCTTCAATTTGATATATAAACGTTTGTATTTAAGTGAAAATTAATATATTCTACAAGCACACAAAGTTGAAAGGCTTGAAACTTTCAAAAAGTGTCCACACTTTTGGCCACCACTGTATATATATATTCGATAAAGGAACAACTATAGATATTTTTTTTCCTTTTTTGCGAATTTTACTTGGTATTCCTTTTTCATACGCAATTTTAGTGGCCCTTAGAAGTGAAGAATTTCGCATTTATGCAAATCATCACTGACATGACCTTCACGAGTTGGGACTTGGCCCTTTCAAGAGCAAATCTCCTACCTGTTTTCCTAGTTACCAGTTCAAAACCCTGACTGCTTTAGAAATCTGCATTTTGGTGGCTCAGAGAATGAATGCTCTTGTCTCGAAATGAGGTCACCCGGTTTCAAATTCCAACGATGACTGGTTGATACAAATTCCACACCCGGCTCTTGTTAGTTCAAAACCCTTGTTTTAAAAATCCGCGTTGTGGTGGCTCAGGCGACAGAAAGCTCGCCTATTAATGAGGTGACCCTGGTTCGAATCCCAGTGATGGCTAGTAGATACGAATTCCGAAATTTAGGCTTACTCCGACCACATTACTGACGTAAAATATCCTCAGCGGTTGATGGATCATGATCATCAGGCTAATCGTGGAAGGTTTTCGCTGTTTTCCTCTCCATATAACGCAAATGGCGGTTAGTCATTAAAAAAATCCTCCACAAAAGTAATTTTATCCTAATATTTGATCCAGGAGTTCCTTTGCTTTCTGGATTGAGCTCAAAATGACGAGGCTACAAAGTTGAACATTAGTAGTCGTAAACTCAAAAATTGGGTCGGCTGTTCAACGACTATTGGAATAAAAATTATGTCTAGCTATGAAAGTTTGGACATCCTTTAGCCCTACTTTCTATCGATTTGTGGGTTTGTGTTTAAATATCTAATGTGCTGCGCTACTTATGACTATACGCATACGTGCGTCAAACGTCCTGATATTCGGAAGATTTTATTTTTACAGTTATTAAAGTGATAGAAATGTGAAAATTTGAACTGCAATAACAATATTTATTGCGTAGAGGTATTTTTTTTT